TGAAGAGAAGGAAGAGTGAAAATTGGAGCCGGCAGGGCCAGCAGGTGGTTAGTAGTTAAGGTGCTGGACTCTCACATGGCTGACCATGATTCAACTTCTGTACCCAGTGGCTTGAAAATCACACTGGGTGCATGGGCCTGTGTGCCCAAATTCCCCAGAGAATGGAGAGGGGAATACAGCATGGCCATCCTCCTTAGAGCAAAAACCTTTTAAAAAAAAAATTGGAGCCACCTTCATTTCCTGTCTTCCTTGCTCTCTTCATAAATCCATCCCCTCCCTGCTTCATAAACAACTAATTGGTGACGCTGCTGACGTACGTATGCAGCACACGCACACTGCACGTGAAGTGAGGAATGCTTCCTCCAACGTGATTGTAGAACAAGAGAAACCCAGGGTGATGACAGAGGAACTTCTGAAGCCTAGGTTATAAAACTGAGAAATAATTGCAAAGGTAACTGAACTTTGTTGAATGTAACATATAAATGATCTTTATTAAAGCTTTCAGATTAGTCAATGAAATACTGTTTTTAAATGTTTCAAAATGGAATCATAAGTGTCTTTTTAGTCAGAATAAAAAAACTCCCAGTCACGTGCCAGCTACATAGTTCAGTGGCTAAGCATTGTGTATGGGAACTGGATCCTACATGGCTGACCGTGGTTCAAATCCCAGCCCTAGTGACTTGAAAAACACACTGTGCCCATTTGCCTTTGTGCCCCAAATCCTGACGGGATGGAGAAATGGAGGAAAAACGATTGTGGTGTGACCATGTCCTGTGGGAGGGTGTGTTCTCCCTCTTTTTCTTTCCGAAGAGTTCAGAACTCTCTAGCAAAAAATAAATAAATAAATAAATAAATAGCAGGAAAAAAACCTAGTCTCAGAATAAGGAGAGATGCTTGGTTTTCTGTAGATCTTACAAAATGAAACAGAAACTCCTGACCCTACCTTTATCAAACAGTTGAGTGGCTGAGTGTTCTATGGTCTCATGAGGGTGAAAGAAATGTTTTTATTTGACATAAGAAAATCAAGACATGAGCTAGCAGGTGGCATGGAGGTTAAGGTGGTTGGATCCCACATGACTAATTGGGCAGTTTGAGTTCCAGACCTGGCAGCTTGAAAAACACACCGGTCACGTGTGCATGCAGGCCCAGAATTCTGAGAGGAGGAGGAGGAACAGGGATTGCAGTGTGACCACCCTCTCTGGGGGGTGATTTTTCACTTTCTGTCTCTCTCTCTCAAGTACATGCACCCTATAGCAAACTAAAAGAAAAAAAAGAAAAGGAAATTGTGATGTGGCTGGAAACATCCATTGATGTACATTAGATTATTTTAAAGATAGCATGTATGCTCCTGATGAAATCACAGATTGTTATTACTACGAGGTAGTAATACATGGTAGAAAAATGATCCCGATGTTAGTATAATTGGGGGAGAGAATGCAACTTTTTTCTATGTGATAGAATTTCAGATATCACAGCCTAAAATACAGGTCATGAGGAAACAGATGTTGCATTATGGTCAAAGCACCTCTTTAGATACACAAAGGCATTTTCAACCTTGAAGGCTTCTGTTAGTGAATTTTAACGTTTTTATTCATACAAGCCCTAGAAGCAATATTCGCACATACATTGATATTTGTTAAGTGGTTTAGAAAAGGCTATGGGGGGAACCAGCAGTTAGTGTAATGGCTGGACTCCCACGTAGTCAACCGCGGTTTGTGTCCTGGACCTGGTGGCTTAAAACTCACGCCGGGTGCGTGTGCGTGCATGCCTAAGATCCCAAGAGGAGAATGGAGGAGAAGGGGTTGTGGCATGACCATCCTTCCTGGGGGGTGATTCTCGCTTTCTGTCTCTATGTCTCTGTCTGTCTGGCGAGCACACGTGCCTATAGCGAAAAACCTCTCCAAAAAAAAAAAAAGAAAAGGCTATGGCAAGTAAAACAGACTAAGTTGTATTGATTAGGGAGATTGTTTATAATTTTCTAGAGGGACCAGCAGTTGGCGTAATTTTCTAGAAAAATTTCAGGAAAAGGGGAAAAACACATATTAAGAGAAACGCTAAACGTACTTTATTTATGGAACCATTGCCTGGAAGAATAGTGAAAGTTTTGATGCTTAAGACCAGAGGAAAAAAACGTACAGTTTAGAAGGTTGATTAAAGATAACATTCCTGGCCAGCCCTTGGCCTAGTGGTTAAAGGAGCCAGATCTCACGTGGCCAGCCATGGTTTGAATCCTGGACCTGGCAGCTTAAAAAAACACTAGGTGCTTGTGCACATGTTTTCAAAATCCCAACAGGATGTAGAAATGGAGAGGATTGGAGGGACTGGAGGAAAAACGGAGGGATTGCTGTATGACAACCCACGTGGAGTGCTTTCTGTTTCTCTGGCGAGTTCACATGCCCTCTGACTATTAACAACAGAAAAACTTCTATACTGCCAAATGCAAGAAGTCGTCTTCTCGATTATAGCTTTATATGTCATTGCTTGCTGTATTTTATCTACGTGAACCTCCCGCGACCTTCCAACTGAGCCAGTTTTGTTTTCTGTTTACCTTCATTACTGTCCTCTGCATGGATCTGCGTCTAGTATAAGAGCTCCATGTAGTTTCCTGTCTGAGTACAGTATTAGAAGTAACAAGAGGAACCAGCAGATGGCGTAATTGTTATGTCACTGGACTCCCACGTAGCTGACCATGGTTTGAGTCCCAGGCCTAGTGACTTAAAACTCATGCCAGGTGCATGTGTGTGTGCATGCCAACAATCCCAAAAGGAGAATGGAGGAGAGGGGATTGTGGCATGGTCATACCTCCAGTGGGTGATTTTTCACTTCCTGTCTCTCTGGAGAGTGCACATGCTCTATAGCAAAAACCTTTCTCAAAAAAAAAAAAAAAAAAAAAAAGAGTAATGAGAATATATTATCATAAATATTCAAGTTTTTTTTTTAAGAGAAATTTTAGCTATAGGGCATGTACACTCACCAGAGAGACAGACAGAAAGTAGGAAATCACTCCCCAAGGGGGGTGGCCACATCTCAGTCCCTTCTCCTCCATTCTCCTTTCACAATTTTGAGCGCACATGCCTCCAGTGTGAGTTTCAAGCCCACCAGTGTGGGACTGGAATCACAGTTGGCCTTGTGGTAGTCCAGTGCTGTAAACACTACGCCACCTGCTGGCCCTAAAAGATATTTTTGAATCAATTATTAGGATGCATATTTTAAAAGTTAGACATTTTTAATTCTTCAGGTTAAGTTTTTCTTTATTTCAGCCAGTGTTTAAGATTTAGAGTGTTTATTTAAAAGATTTTTTCGTGATTTCTGATTTACATGTAAGTGCTGTACATGTTGTAGGGATAGTATGGCTTTCAGACTATGCATACAGCATGTCATACATACACACTAACTTCTCCTTCATTGAGCGTTACGTTACGTACATTTGGAAATCATTCCAGTGTTTGTTTTTAAACTTTTTGGAAGACTATATTTTTTTACTCTCTGTGCTTTATTGCCTATTTCACTTGTTTATATGAATTCTTGTGTCCCTTAATTATTTTCTCCTGATCCCCAACTTCTACCTAGAGTCTTTGAAACTAACGTGATGGTTTTAAATTTCTTCCTTCTTCCCTTTTTTTTTTTTCTGGGGGGGGTAAACTGCCGAGGGTCCGTGTGTTCATGCACTAACTGGTGAGACAGAGAAAGCACCTGCCAGTGGGTGTAGTCTTCTCCTCCATTTCTCTCTCCTTTCCGGATTTGGAGCGTGTTCACGTACACCCCCAGTGTGTTCCTCAAGCTGCTGGACCAGGGGTCACACAGCGTAACTGGCTACAGGGGATCTGGCTCACTTCAACCACTAGGGGATAAGAACTGGCCCCAAATCAGTTATTTCTTTCAGTAGGAGTTTACATCTTGTCTTCTGGCAAGGGTAATATGTGAGATTTTAACATTCTAGTATTTTCAGAGAGGCCGTGTAGGGGGAGAGTCAGAGTCCATCCAGGAGTTGTGGGTTTAGGCTGCCTCTCATCTCTTGTTTAGAACAGGAGGCGAGTCGCATGTTCCTTTTTTCCCGTTTCCTTATCTCTAGCGTGAGGAGGTCAGTTGAGGAAATAACTACAAATCCAGTTCTGATATTTTATGGTGTTCAAGCTTTTTTATTAAGAACTATTTTATTTAAGTTTATTTATTATTATTTTTAAAAATGTGACCAGAGAGCGGGAAAGTGAGAAAGTAGGCCAGCAGGTCTGGGACTCAGACTCAGACCAGGGCCAGCCATGTGGGAGTCCAGTGTCCCAACCACCACACCACCTGCCGGCCCTTTCAAGCTTTGCTTTTAAGTAGTATAATTGTTTCTTGAAGAGAAATTCTTTTACAGCCATATCAAACTTCATTTGCCCATGTAAATTCCTGCTTTATAGATGAAGTCCTGTCTTTGAGCCTTAGTTCACAAAATCTGATTTTTTTAAATTCATTTTTATCGAAATATAATAATTGCATGTATTTATGGGTATAGTATGATTTTTCAGGACAAAAATATAATGTGTAATGATCCAGTCAGGGTAATCAGCGTATCCATCAGATCTCAACCATTTCTCGTTACTTTGCCTTGGGGACAGTCAGAGTCCCCCTTTTTAGCTCCTCTGAAATATACAGTGACTTGTCCTCTGCAGTTACCCTGCTGTGCTGTATGATGGGAGAACTCGTTGCATCAGCGCATTCCTGAGCCCTACTTCTACCCTTCCCAGCCTCTAGCAGTCCCTTTTCCATCCTTTGCCTTGCTGGGGTCTTTTTTAGTTCCTACATATGATGAGCGATATGGGGTGTTTCTTGAAGAGAAACTGGATGTATCGTGCGTGGAGCTGGTGGGAAGTGAGGGAGAGAGGCCTGACTGTGCTGAACCCGCCGTGGTCCTTTCCGCGGCGCTGC